CCCGGTTGGGGCCCTAGAGTCGGATACAAAAATTTTTTGAGACCACGCCCTTTTTAAAATGGGAAACGCCCATTATTTCCAAACGTTTGCGCACGTTATAGAATATGGTTAAATATCATAAAATGTGATAAAAAGCATTAATTCTAAAGGTAAGCGATTTAAATACGCCCTTTGACCACACCCTTTTAGCTGATTAAAGAGGACTTTAAATGTGTTCCTTCAATTCTGAGTGTTTTTTTCTGGTGAGCCACGCAATATAAAAATTTAAAATGAAAGCAAACTTTTATTCTACGCACTTCTATTTAAAAAATCCCATGGAACTATGCTTTTCAGTTCTTCCGTCCTTCAAAAGTTAATTTTTCTTGCTTTTTCAGTTGCAAACTGATCAATGATATTGTCGTAATCAATTTGACTTGCTAGTTCGTGCTCGATCGAAAGAGTCATGAGGCTTGATAGTCTGTCTTGAGTTATTGTGGAACGTAAGCGGCTCTTTATTAATGCTAGTTTGCTGAAAGGGGCCCCAAAAATATAATATAGCTTTATGCAACGAGTCTAAATGCAAACATAACTCACTTGAACGGGCCATAGATTAAAACAAGATTATATGGGTTATCTAATTTTTATCAGGGCTCGCTTCCACCAATAAGTACGATTTTGCGAAACCCAGGGAAACTCAGCTTAAAAGATGAATCCGTAAAATATTTGACCTAAGGTTTATTCAGCTTTTCTCGGGGCCCCAGACTCAATAAATGAATCTGATAGGCCTTAAATTCAAACAAGACTCAGTGTACGGACCCAATGAAATTACTGCCATCATTTTCGATATTAACAAATATATCTTTGAATGCATTTTCAGTTTCTCAAAAAAAGACATTTTAAAAAAATTTTCAGAATAATTTAGGGGCCCCTTTCAGCCCGAGGCCCTGGGACAAATTGCCCCCCTGCTCCCCTCTCTGCGCCACTGTCTACATATAAATGTTTTACGAGCAAATTGATTCGTAAGGAATTTCAAATGAGGAAGCTTGCATAAAGACGCTATGAAAATTCATGGAAAGATAAAATGATGCCCTTAATATAGAAGGCTTTTAACTGGTGAAGACAAATTAGAAATATAATTAGCCATGTTAGAAGTTATTTGTGCAGATAAAACCGCTCGCGCACCTGGATCTTGTACTGTTTTGGTTCATGAGTGATATAAACAAAGCCATTAAGTTTGGGCATGCCGTCCTTCTTTGTTGAAAATAATCGAAACGCTGTTACTCGTTGTACAACTTAGACAATGACCGATTTCTTCGATCTAATTCGAGGGGGGAGGGCCATGGCCCCCTGCGCCGGCCCTGTATTACATTACATAAGTCTCGCCATGGCCCCCCCTTCCGCCACCCTAACAAAAACTTCACTTTAAAATTCGCCTGCATTGAACACGGTGAGTTTGCCACCCCACCCCTACTCCACACGCCTGGCTACGGGCGAATGGAGGGACTAGAAATTATTCGTGTCAACAACAAGAAACAACAGCCAATTAAAGACTTTTTTAAGTAAGAACATACAGTATGGTAAATGAACATGTGCTTGCAAATTTTGTGTTCGTTCGTTCCACGCGGCCGCTGTCCTAAAAGCCAGGTACCTAAGAGCATTGTTTTCTTTGTTGGCTTTTGAGCAAAAGAAACAATTGAGATAGTCAATACCAGCCCAGGAACAGGAATGATCAGTAACCACACGATATGTCAAGCAGAGTACAATAATACGACAGAAATACGACCCAACCCCACCAATAACAGGTATTTCTTAACCTGTCGTCCAAGAACCAGTGCAGACATATTTTAAGGTTTACAAAAGTGAAGCAGCAACCAAGGTAAGCATTGTTTATACTGTTTTTTTCTCTCAAAAGACTGTATATCAAATGCGACTCGAGAGTTCAACAAGTTGCCTCTGGTGGCGTTGTTCGCTGTTCCTTAAAATCAGAAGCGAAGCAAGATTGGCAGTGCAGTAAAGGTGAACAGAAAGGCAGTAAAGGTGAACGCAAAATTAACTTGACCTCAAATAAAAGCATATTGTTGTGTAAGTGTATGCGCGCGCGATGCCTAAGATCCGCTGCGACCTAACGCTAGACCTAGAGAGCACAAGAGACAAGACGCCATGTTTTCACTCCGACCCTGATCTAGTCTAATCTAATCCGAGGCTAGTATAAAATGGTTTATGCCTAATACATTACACATATCGAGCATAAATACCTGATACATTATTATTTTTTAATATTCAACACAGTTTTCGAGTTATTGAGCGTCAAAGTTAGCCACCGAACGTTTCCCGAGCACGGACGAGTTTGCCCGAGCCTTACGCATAATCGTGACGTCCCAAACACCATGTTCACATAACTTGAACAACACGACCGTCTGGAAGGCCGTACTTTTATGACTTTGCGAAAGAGCATCGATACATTAATTGAGTAGATTTTGGCTCCATTTCGACAAACTGATTGAATATGTTGACAGAATTTTTTTCTCTAGAGACCTAAGTAAAATACTTTTATTTTGCTTAATACGGGTGCTGTTAGACTAATTTATCAGGGCTGCCCCCCTCCCCCCTCCCCCCTCCCGACAAAAAAAGTAATCTCGGTCTTTGATCCTGGTCAGCTTCAATATACGTAGTAAAGATTTCGAATTGAAGTCACTCATTTTCGAGATAATTTTTATTCAATCACATGAAAGATTTTCAGGGGTTAAGAACCTGGTACGATCGAGTCGCTATTTGCAGGAAAACAACTTTGTTAAACAATAGATTTTCTTGTTGCGTGTCAGTGATGTGATTCTTAATTTTGTTAGTGCTCTTCTTTTTAATCTTTAATCCTTTGCCATGCCATTTCTCATTTTTTGCCATCACTTGTTGTCAGCATCCTATTGTTTCTTTGGTCATGTGTTTTTCATTATATTGCCATGCTGTTTTATGTTGAGTCAGTCGTTAAGTAAAGCCGTCAAGGAGAGTCGTTATATAGAGTCGTAATGTAAAGCCGAGAAGTAATGTCGTGTCGAAGCCGTCCCGTTTTATGAAGTTGCCGTTAGCCGTTAAATTCAGTAAAGTGTACCCGCCAAACATTCTTGCCGCCGCCGAATATTGCTTGTAGCATTAATTTCCGAACTACTGCTTGTGATTTATATCGCCGATTATATCATATATTCTGGTTCTTGTTGGAATTAACTGTTGTTTCATTTGTACTTGACTAACCAGGGCAATTGTAAAACAGTGTTGTTTTAAAACTTAGTCAAATGTTCAACTCCCAGGCCGCTGCACTCCTGTAACTCGGATGAACCGATGAGTTTGCAACCCCAAAATAAAATAACGCTCATGATTTATATGGATGTTGAAATAATCTATCGAAGTAATAATATTTTGAATTTACTCGAAAAAGAAGCTAGATTCATGATAAAATGAAAAGATTTTTACATTCGTCCGCATAATTGACTTCAGAATTGAGAATTTCTTCGAGCAGCTAAAAATGCCTATTCCTTCAAAATTTAAATTCCCTCCTAACGTAACACAGTATCAGCCAGCACATATCCTTCGTATATTTCATCAGCCTCAAATTTTCATATATCTTGGATCAATAGCTACTTGGATCTCCTCGAATAGTAATTGAACAAGATGAACTGAACTGTTCAGTCCATGCGTTATTTCTATTCAAGGAATAAAAACATGGTGTTTGTGATGTCACACACTGGGTCACATGAACCACACTCGACGACAATTTCATGACATTTAGAGTGAAAAGCCAGTAGCCCGCAAGAACCCCCCCCCCCAACCCGAGGTGCAAATTAGCAAAGAACGAATTAACGCCATCCCCAACACACAAAACCCCTCTCACACAAAACCCCAACACACACGACCTGGCCCCCGCCGAGGCGTGCCCCCCCCCCGCAAAAGCGTGGCTCCCGCACAAAAGAGGCTCCCACCAAAGAGAGGCTGTGGCGTGCATCCCCGCAGAGGCTGCGAAAACCACGCCCTCTGCCATCACAAAATTCGTCCTCGAAAAAATGTGCAAAAAACACTCGCACTCCTGTAGAATTCAGCGAAAACTTGAAATTAAGATTCCATGCATCGTCTTCTGCGTTATATCAAAAAATAATTTTGCGTGTCAGTTCTGTAAAACGACACTGTTTTACAGTTGCCCTGATTCAGAAAACACAATAGAAACCACAGTTTATCGAAAACTGAAAAACCAGGATATGTGTTGATAAGAACAATTTAACAAAACGATATCAAACTCGGCGATTTTATGAACAAAACAGTATCGGCGGTGGATCTGGTCCAGATCGGATCCATCTACAACTCTACGTTATTTGTCGAAAGTGAGACAGAATAATTTCCAATTCAAGGTCGTTTGAATATGTAATCTGTGGCTTTTTAGCGCCAGAAAACCGAACATCAAGTTGATAGACTACTGTGTTGAAGAATTATTACGAAACTTTTACGATATGTCGTCGTACTTCTGTATTTTCTCAATCCTGTCCACATGCAAGCTTTGAAGTTTAGTAGTCCAATATTACTTTTAAAAGTAGCGCAGTTCCCTCTTCAGTCCATGAAAATTTACCTATTTTAGCGTTACCTCCCTCCATGTTCAGGTTGAGCTGTGTTTTTATCACGCACGAAGTTCTGAAAACGTCATATGCGCGCCGATTTTGGAAAAGCGCATGCGCGTAACCAATTGAATTCATCTGGATCCGTTCACGTGTAAACGCAAATGGTTCTGGATCGGATCCCGTGTAAATGCATTTCAGGGATCGGATCCAAAAGTATCCGGATAGCAAGGCTTGCTTTGTTCCTTCATGCAAGGACCGAAATTCTGGGAGGCCGGGCCAGGGGGCCTTGGCCCCCAAAAAACTTATTAGCATGAGTAAATTGCTTTTATTTAATAAGATATGGCTGTTTTTTCACTTATTTATCACGGCTGCCCCCACCCCTTCCCAACAAGACTTTGTATCTCGGTCTTTGCCTTTATGTACTTTTTTAACTTTAAATTCGTACATTTTTAATTTGGCAGACATCACATCTGTTTGAAACAGCTTCTCGTGACCGTGCTGCGATCAAGAATATTTGCAATTTTTGAATTGTTCAGATACTGGATTAATGAGAATAGTTCTAGGGAACAGGGTTTCCTTGCAGACAAAATCCCGTGACTGTGGACGACATAGAGTTAAGAACTCTTTGGTGGACGAAAATAACAGATAACCTAAGTAATAGTTTTGCATGCCACCTTATGAAATGTGGAGGAGCAGCAGCGTGGGTGGGAAATCCTGGGAAAATTACAGTAATTAACGCATAGCTAAATCTTGTGACTCCCTCTGTTGGTAAAACGATGCCATGTTTCGATCATGTTTTTTTGAGTGACATAAGGATAGGTACCGATTTGTGATGAAGTGAAATAAAGAACGATTGTGATCTGATTGAAGAAAGATACAGTCATCTATGATTGATTGCTTTGAGTTTACTCTGCGAACGGCGAGAGAGATTTCACATAGTGGCCCACCGAGATCGGATTAGTAAGATTGAGAGATTGAAGCTAGGCTAAGAAAATGGCAGAATTGAAGAAGAAATTGAAGAACGGACAGGACATCGAGCGTTTATCACGCATACCTTGAAGCAAACGAGAGAGTGCATTGACAAAAATGAATATGAGGAGAATCGTGAGTTAGCGATTCAATTGAAAAATAGCTTAACAGCCCAGCTGGAAGCTGTTGAGGCTCTTGATCCCGAAATTTTAGATTTGCTGACGGAAGAAGTATTTGACAAGGATGAAGGGGACGCAATGTTGTTCACGGAAATTTAAGGAAGCTGGCATTATCAAAGCAGATATACAAACAGCGTTGCATACCCTTGAACAAGTTTTGGGGACGTTTGAGAAAGCGAGTAGCAGTACTGTCAGTGTAAACAAAGTGGAGAGCGGAAGTTCAGTAGGCCTAAAGAAGGTTCACGCCAACTTGCCTAAAATTGAGATGCCTAAGTTTTCAGGGAAGCCAGAGCAGTGGCAAGAGTTCTGGGACACATTTGAAAGTTCGGTCCATAACAACCAAGCTGTGGCAGAAATTGATAAGTTTGCTTATTTACGACGTTACGTCACTGATTCGGCCAAGGCATGCATAGCAGGGTTTTGCGCAACAGCAGCCAACTACAAATTGACTGTTGAGGCACTACAAAAGAGGTTTGAAAAGAAATCCCTTATTCAGCAAGCACATATAAACGCGCTGTTGAACATTGCGCCTGTTTTCAATGATTGGGACGCTGCGAGGCTTAGGAAATTATATGATACGGTAGAGTGTAACCACAGAGGTTTGCAAGCTCTGGAAATCAGTTCGGTCACCTACCAGAGTATTGTTGTGCCTTCAATAGTGAAAAAGCTACCGGAGGGAATCAGGCTGGAATTAAAACGAGGAAAGGACGTAAACGGTTGGTCAGTGGATGAATTTGAACTGAGAGAAGAGCACAGCCGAAGTGTAGCGAGAAATGAGAAGAGGACACCGAGAGAAGATGCTAGGCCAACTACAGCAAGTGCTCTGACTGCAACAACTTATTTATTTTGTGCCTTTTGTAAGGGGAATCATGCCCATCAACATTGTAGCGCAATTACTGACGTGAGTCATCGAAAGCAACTGATTCGTAAGTACGGGCGTTGTTTTATTTGCATGCAGAGAGGTCACAAGGCACGTAATTGCACGCCAATTATTATTGCGCAGTATGTAAGGGGAAACATCACATCTCCATATGCGAGGGCCCTAGGGAGAGGGAGCAAGCTACCCCTGGTTAACAAGTTAACCCTATTGAATCCAGTGTGAGTCCAAGTCTTCATGTAGCTTTTCACTCTAGCATTGTACGTCAGACAGCTCAGGCCCTGGTAGAGGGTGAAGACAGTTCAGTTGAAAGTTAGGGTACTTTTTGATTCAGGAAGTCAGCTGTCATTTGTTAGATCTAGAGTAGTAGACAGTGCAGGATTACAGCCTAAGAGAAAGGAGTGGCTAGAGGTTAGTACATTTGGTCAGCAAGTAGCAGATGGGGGGCTTAAAGAAGTATTTGATTTAGAAATTAGATCATTGATGGTAAGTCAGGCCATAAGATAGAAGCCTTTGCAGTTGAAAGGATTTCCAGCATCAAGAACGAGCATGTAGAACGTAGAAAGAAGGAGTATAACCAATTTAAAGGGATTTGGTTTTCCAATGTTTGTAAAGATGATGATCGACTAGAGGTAAACATCTTAATTAGGTCGGATTATCTTTGGTGCTTTCAAAGCGCCTGAAGAGACTGAAGGGGCAGATACATAAGTTGCAACAAGATCCAGACATCTTAATTGAATATGATAGGGTTATAAAGGATCAATTAGATAGGGGCATTATTGAACCAGTCTGTGATCTAGAAGAGAAGGGAAAGTTATTTTACCTACCACGACATCCAGTTATAAGAAAGGAGGCAAAAACTACCAAATTACGGGTTGTTTATGGTGCTTTAGCCAAGGAGGGGGGGGAAGGTGTTTCCTTAAATGACTGTCTCCATGTAGGACTACCTCTAACCCCTCATTTGTATGATGTGTTGGTATGGTTTAGGGAAAAGAGAATAGCTATAGTGAGAGACATAGAGAAAGCTTTTCTGAATGTGGAAATTGCAAAGAAAGACAGGGACAGTTTAAGTTTTTATGGGTGGATGATATTAATTCCAAGAAAATTAAACCGGTTGAATATGGGTTTTGTAAAGTGGTATTTGGGGTTAATTGCTCTCAATTCCCATTGAATGCCACTGTACAGTATCATTTGGATACATTTGCAGAAGAAGACCCCCAGTTTGTAGGATCAATGAAGCGTAGCCTATATGTGGATGACTGGATGAGGGGTGATAGCAATTATGAGGGGGCCTTGTTTCTGAGTTCATGGGAGAAATTTTGGTAACTTTGTTGACCTCCAAAACCAGGGTAGCTCCTCTAAGTGTCCAAACTATTCCTAAACTTGAGCTGATGGCAGCAAGAACCCTAGTATATCTTATGGACACAGTTAAAAAAGCGTTAGCCAAGGAAGTCAAGATTGATGAGATAAGACTGTGTTCTGACAGTAAAACAGTCCTATGTTGGTTAGAAAATAAGAAAGAATGGAAAACCTTTGTAAGACACAGGGCAAATAAAATCTTGAAGATAACTACAATGAGCGAGTGGAGTTATTGTTCTAGCGAAGAAAATCCTGCTGAAATAGCATCACGGGGCCTAGGGGCTGATAGTTTAAAGAAGGCGGACTTGTGGTGGATTGGCCCAGGGTGGATAAGTGGTCCTAAAGAGGGATGGCCCTCAAACCCAGAGGAAATACACAAGAGAGTACTTTAGAATCTATAAAGGAAGTTGTACTGACTTTGAGTGCAAAGAAACGAATCTCGCCTGACAATATCATAAATGTCCAAAAATACCCCAAAGTCAACAAACTGTATAGGATCACTGCTTATGTAAGGAGGTTTATATAAACATTAAGGCAAGAAGGAGAGGGGTCCAGAAACTGAAAAGAGAGTTGAGTGCAGAGGAAATTGTTGGAGCAGAAAGAGTTTGGTATTAGCAATGCAGGATGATTTAAAACAACAAGATAATTATATTTCACTCTGTAAGAAGCTTCAGATTGTTAACTATAATGGGATTCTTAGATGCAAGGGCAAATTAAGCAATTCTGATTTGGGTCTTGAAGGAAGACAACCAATCTTACTTCCAAGGAATCATAGAATAACAACCCTTATAATTGAAGACTGTCACCGGAAAGCTTATCACAGTGGTCTGAGAGCAACATTAGCAGAACTTAGATCCCATTATTGGGTGCCCAGGGGAAGGCAAACAGTGAAGAAGGTTATCAGGGATTGTGTAATTTGTACAAGGATACAAAAGAAGTCATTTGCTGCTAAACCTGTTGCAGATGTGCCAGAATTTAGAGTGAAACAAGATGAGCCGTTCTCTAAGATCGGTATAGACTTTGCCGGCCCTTTGTTTGTAAAGGAGAGAGGAGAGATGAATAAATTCTACATAATCCTTTTTTCATGATGCATTTCTAGAGGAATTCATTTGGAGTTGGTATAAGATCTTACTCCTGCTACATTTTTGAACTGCTTTAGATAGTTGTAATTAAATCATGTAGCCTGTAATTAAAAGCTTGAATTTATTATCATTGAATTTAATCTTAATATTTTATACACAGCTATTTAAGTATTAAAATAAATTGTAAACCAAAATTGTTGTCGCTGAATTTGAATTTGAATGTTATCTTAACTGGTTATTGCTATTATTCTCAGTTGTTTACAGTATTTCAGATTGTGAATTGAGAATGTCTTATTTAGTTGTTTACAGTATGTCTTATTTCAGAAGTCGAATATTAAAAGCGAAGTATGGGTTTCTGAAGCTATTGCACAATTCTCACTCGCTGCAACTGCTTATCTCCTACCTTTTTCGTTTCCAGTAACAAACTTGAGTAAACATGAACTGAA